CTTCTAAATATAGGTGATTAGTTAAAGGAGACTGTAATCAAATTAGGCTTCTAATTTTACAAAATGCATTGAATATTAATGCACTGTACGTCTTACTGACAAAACATCTACTTAACTGACTTCTCTAAAATTCACCGTTGAGAAGTCTGACATCAGATACCCAGGAGGGCCCTCAGAGTTTGTAACAAATTATTTAGATCTAAAATATGTACCTGGCAACCGAGGAGGAGTTTTCCATAGGAATATAACTGAATTTCTTGCAAACTCCTTCCTTCTTTCATTTGAAAACTATTTTATGTGCCAAAAAAACAAAGTTTTATGTTGAAACACTGACAGTTAAATTCATAAGGAAGTAAGAATGGTCATTCTGGATCAAACCTGGAGTATAGCTACTCTGATTTTGAGGTCCAGATGGAGAACAACCAGCAGCAGATCCTTTGGAAAGAATTTAGAATAGGAAGCAAATACAGAACAGTCACCATCTCCACCATCACCACTAACATGTTAGTGTTACACTGGTTTCTAGGAACTGCACTGGTTTGTTTCCTAACACAAGCATGACACCCGCTGAAACTGAAAACACTGATCTCCATGAATAAATCAGGAGAGATGGAGAAAACACTGCTCACTAACCATCAGCAGTTCTCTTCAGCCTATATTTCCATAATTCCTTCCAGCATTTAGCTTCCTTTCTTAACAGGGCCAAGCTGTGTAATTCTGGAAATATTTCAGTTCCTCTGAGGTGTTTTCACACCCCAAATTACATGAGAATTAAAGAACAAAATTACAGAAGAAAATGAGATCTTTACTGACAGTTGAGATATACATTTTTTTTTATTTATTTCCATACTAATCATCCTAAACTGCTCAAAATAACAAAATATCCAAACAGCAGTTAATACTGCTAAATACAAAACCATGAACATATCATGAAGCACTAACTTCAATTCTGTTCACTTCAGGTATCTCAGATATTTAAGGCATCCAAATCTAGGCTTTTGGGTAAAAAAAGTCATTTTGTGCATATCTACATCTGTGGAGGTTCCTTAGTCATCCTTATCACTGAAAAACAAATAGGGTAGAAGTAATTAAAAAAAATAATTAAATCTTAATAGAGTGGGGCAAGTTTTGTGTTTTCCATACATACTTAAAAGTGAACCAAACTTCTACCGCAATAGCTTTTTTTTTTCGGTCTAATTGTGTAAATGATCACAAAGAACACCAGCTGGACAACTAACAGCAGAATCTGCCACAGTGAGTACAATGCAGGCAGCAGGACAGCCTGCTTCCCAACACCTGCATTTCTCGAAGGATGAGGCATCCTCTAACAGTAAAACATCAGTAAAACAGCATCTGTGTCATTCAGAGGAAAGTTCAGCCTCTACCCTCAGCCCTGGTTTCTTTAAACTGCAAGAAATTTCTGAGTACTGAATTCAAAAAGAATCTCTGTGATAGACTGTACTTACTTAAAAATAAATATATGGATAAATACAGGCCAACATCTTTGAACTGATGAAGAACTCAAGGTCACTAGTGAACTGTCTCAGATTTTAATATGTGAATCACAAGGCTCTATTACATACTTTAAGCTACCCAATTTACATCAGGCATAATCAATGCGAAAATAGATGCTATATCAATTTTGGAATTCATGCTTGACATTATTTCTTAACTTTTTTTGTTTTGTTTTGTTTTTTCTCCAGGAGGAAATGAATATTTTTGCCTTTTAGAAGGAAGCATAAGAAACGAACCTTGCATAACCTAGCAAGATACAGTGACACCTGGTAGCTGAAAAAGCATACAACTTCCTTTTCTAGTTCACTGGTAGACATGATGAAGTATGCAAGCCCTACAGTTTACTTCAGAAATCAATTGTCTGGTGAAAGATAACAGCAACTATAGATTCCAAGAAACTGGTATGCAAACATTCTTTCTGGTTAATGTATATATGTGGAACACTTACATGCACGCTTAGCAAAGGACAGCATCATACTATTAACTGATGCTATCTCTATCCTAACAACTCTATCCTTACACAAAGATCACATTTCTGACGCTCTTATTCGTATCTTTAGGTCTGAGAGTATTTGCTCAATCCAGCATGTTCTAGCAATCAAACCAACCAACAACTCAGGCTGAAATCTTGCAATAACATGACCCATTTGTAACCAGATGTCACACTCAATCAAAATTTAGATGAACATGCATGCACTCAACCCACACTATTAATTGAGCTTTTTTGTTTTGAGCAGTTCAGTTTCAGACTGCAGTGATACAGGTTCCTGTGCAGCTTCATGGCCTTGCTTACCTACAGGATTTTTCTTAACAGTAAAATCTAGCTCTTGGCATGCTCATTATTTGTTTTTTGAACTTATCACTCCATTAAGATGAATGAGTAAGCTCACTTCTCTGTCAATAGTATTGTTTCTGTCTGGCTTGCTACAGATACTGTAAGACACCATGAATTGATTTACTGGTTGAAGAAAGACAACCTGAGTCTTGGAACTATATCAAAACAAATATCTTTTTTGTTCACAGAAAACAAACAAAAAGATAAACTCCAGCATGGTTATTTATAAGACTGAAGTGCATTAATTCTCTGAAAATCCCTCTTTAGTAACAGAAAATAAATCATTAAGAATGAAGAGGAAGGGCTTTCTGTTTACCAGACTGGATTAATAAGCTTATTCCGCTTCCACATTTTTCCCCCATCAAACAATCCAAGCAAAATCTTCCTTTGCAAGTTTGTATTGGTGCTGGTATGCTTGTAAATACAAAACAGAAGGCCAAACATTTTGGATAGTAAAGCTACGCTAAGTTATAATGACTACAACTACTATTAGTGAAAAGCCAACCAATTAATGCAAACATGTTTCCAAGACATATCATCTGAAATATCACCTTATGAAAGTTTAAGAATTTATTTTTTTTTTTCCTCAGCCAACAGCACAAGATTTCAAAATATTCTTCATAGCTGCGATTCTAAACATGAGTCACTGGCATTTTAAACTTACATGCTACGTAATGTGCAACTGCTTCACTGTACTTATTTTCTTTTATTCAATTTCTGGCTTCACAGAAAGTCATCAGTAAGAGTTTAACATTATGTTTATTGCTAGCATCTTTAAATGGGTGAAAATCCAGTATATCTCCAGTTCATGTGTTTGGTTGAGTTAGACTAATTAGAAGTCTATGTAAAATGGCAAAACCAAAGACAAGAGATCTTTCTCTTGATTAGAGGTTTCAAAACAAAGAGCAGAAAGAGAAGTTATTCAGAAGTTAAGAAATGTATCAGTACTCTGTGCACCCACTGTCTCAATACCTGAACTTGTTGGGAAAAGTTATGTCAACATCAAAAATCCACTCCAACCTTGATAGACTTTTCTCTGGGCTAATGGGCAATAATTTTCCTCCATTTAACTGCTTTTTAAAATTATTACTAAGTTAATCCCAGGAATATTGAGTATTAATTTAGTATTTTACATTAAAATATCTTAATCCAACTTGCACTATTTAATAAAAATTCTTTACTGTTGATGTGTAGAATGTCTCAATTATTCTACAGCACACATGAATTACTTTCAAGAGCATTCCCATGTCTTGTTAGGTCTTGTGGTAATGTGGCAGACGTTAGGATGCACTAGAATGACATAAAAGAAGAACTGCATTGTGCTGCTATGAGAATCTGATGTTGTCTAAAACATGAGTAAGGACAAAAAGCAATAGAGCATTAACATAATTATATGTTATCCATTTACAGACTGGAATTATCCATCACATTCAGTGCAGAAGAGGTAACGCAATAGTATTCCTTCGAACGTCCCTACCATATCTGACCCTGATTGCTGAAGGGTTTAGTGCCTGAACTATCACATCTTCCTGCTTTCCCAGTGTTTTATTCACTCTTTTTACTGTTATCCATGTAAATGTAACGAACACAGAAAAAAGAATGTAAAAGCGAAGTGTGAAAATAAATAAACTACAAATTTGGTAGTACTCCACAAGTAAAAAGCTGTTTGCTCATTACTTGCCAACATAGTCATATTCAGCACTTCTTTCAAGAATAATAGGTAACATAATTTCCGCTAGAAGCAGCATTTAGAGCTGCCCTTCAGCTCCTGTATTTTCACTCACATCCCAGTAAAGCCCCTGACTAGGAAAGGTAAATTGTACAAAAGCAAATTGTAAAAAAAAAAAAAAAAAAAAAAAAAAATTTAAAACAAACAAAAAGTAGGAAGGACTCTGAATGCAGAAATAGATGCATCCTACCTCCTCCACAACTAAGTAGAGAGATGTATAATAAATAAACAGTTATGGAAATGCTTTGCTCTATCCAGATGTTCAATAACGTAGAACACAACGTTTCACAACCGTTGACTTTTTTTTCCAGCTCTTCCTAACAACATTTGATACCATCTGAGTGTGCCGCGCATTTTAATCTTCATTTCTCTAAGTAGGGTGATTCCCTTTCCAACCCAGGGGCACACTGCTTCAGCACGTACATTACAACCTAAGCAATTCAACAACCATCTTCAGCTGGACCTGATGAGCACGCACCTGTGACAAAGGCTCTAAATGAGGATTTTTTCGAGCAGCCAAAGCAGGTGTTAAGGGCAACCATGTCTCTTAACGTGAGCGACGCACCCTAAAGCCCGCTCAGCACGAGCCAGCTTTATCCCTCAGCAAGCCCATTTCACATAGCGGGATGCCACCGCTCTGTCTCAGCGGGGATAACTTTCAGTCCGCCGCAAGTTCGGCCGCTCTGGAGGACAGCGCACGGCCGCGGCCCCGCTCGTTTCCGCGCTTCCCTCTCACCCGCACCCAACTTTCACGGGCCGCCCCCAGCGGATGCCGCCGGACAAAACCCCGCCGGGCGGCTCCCGGCCGCAGCGCCCGCCCCGCTCCTCCGAGCCGCCGATCCCGCCGCCTGGCGGGGTCCGAAGCCCCCTCCCCACCGCCCCGCGCCCACCGGAAAGTTGCGGCCCCGCGGCCGCCCTCACCTTGGTTGGAGGCGCCGTGTCCGCCGGCTGCGGGGCGCGCCGTCAGCAGGGGGAGGAAGAGGCCGAATCTCCAGAGCAGCCCCCGCGCGTCGCAACACCCCATGGCTGGGGCCCACCGAGCGCCCCGCGTCCTCCTTCAGGCCGGCGGGGAACGCCGCGGCGCGACCCCCGCCCGCCTCCCGCGGCCCCGCCGGGGTCCGGGGCGCGCCGCGTTGCCTGCGTTGCCGCCGGGGGCTGCCCGGGCCGGGGCGGGTGCATCCACCGGCGACGTCCCGGGGCACGGCGGCGGAATGAGGGAGAGCGGGAAGGCGGCGAGGGGTGCGGGAGCCCCGTGCCGCACAGCCGCGAGGGGCGGCGGCGCTGGCGAGGGGGAGAGCTTCGGCAACTTCGGGCTGAGCCCCGCTCCTGGGCGGCCCTTCAGCCCCGTAGAGGCGCCGCCGGCAGCTCCGGCAGCCTCCTCCGCCGTCCGCGCCTCATCCCCGGCCGGACGCAGCGCCGAGGGGCTTCAGTATCCCATAGCGGAGGATGGTCCTGCCCCGCCGCCGGGCTGCTCGGCTGCAGGCGGGGTGGGGAGCGGGGCTGGGCGCCTCCTCACGCTCCCCGCGCCATCAACAAAACTTGCGGGGCGGCATCGCCGCCGCCTCTCTCCCCGCTCTGCCTCTCCCTCTCAGCAGCGGCGGCTCTAATGCGATCTCCGCCGCTCGCTCCCGATCTGCGTGTCGCGCTCCCGGCCGCGGCTTTTGGTGCCGCCGCTCCCCCGCCGAGCGGCACGTCCCTAGCCCGGCGGGTACCGGTCAGCCGGGAGGGCGGCGCGGCCCCGCGCCGGGGGCGCTCGGGCACGGGCGGCCCGCCGGCCAAACGGGCGGCCGGGAGCGCGCGGGGAGAAGCGCGGGGGGGAGAGAGTTTGGGCGGCGGCGGCGGCCCCTCCTCAGCCGCCCTCAGAGGGGAGTGCGGGCGTGAGGTGCGCGGCGCGCCTCGGCGAGGGGAGGGGAGGGATGGAAGGAGGAGAGGCGCTCCCTCGGCTCGCAGCCCGCGGGTCAGATGCGGCCGGCTGGGCGCTAGAGGGGGTTAGTTGACAAGGCAAAACGCCCGGCCGCGGCGGCGGGGCCTGGAAGGAACCTGACGGGAGGCGAGCGGCGAACTTGGCGCGCGGCGCGGCGCTCGCTGGCAGCAGGCACAGGTGAGGCAGGTGGAGGTACGGCTCTGCCTGCTGCTAGCCGGCCTGCGCCGCGCCTCCACCCCAGGCAGTGCGCGCTCTTGGGACGGATTCGCTGCGTGAGCGCTGCACTCGGAGCTGTGCCACGTGCTGTGCCAGGTGCTGGAGTTTTTTCTTCTGTTTCTTTTAGTTGAGCATTTCGATTTTCGGACTTATTCAAAGACAACAAGACTTATTCAAAGAGAAAACAGGAATCACAGATTCCCAGAATTTAGGGGCTGGAAGGGACGTCTCGAAATCATTGAATCCAACCTCCTGCTCAAGCAATTTCCTACAGAGGGTTGTATGGTCCAATGTGCATACAGGTCTTGAGTATCTCCTGAGAAGACCACCTCTCTTGGTAGCCTTGGTGTCCTTCTCACAGTAAAAAAGTTCTTCCTCATTTTTGTGTGGTTCCACATTTCTGTATATGAGTTCCTAAAATCAAGTGTCCAAATGCACGTGTAAAAGAAAAGCTGTTTCATTCCCAAGGTTTCTGTGCATCCACAGATCCCATGCAGTCAGTAATAATGCAGCCACAGTGTCCCAAACCAGACCACAACAGAGCTCCTCCTGAGCTCCTGAGCTGTCTCCTGTACAGACACCCAGTGAAGCTGTATGTGGAAACAATCACTTTGTAATGCAAGAAAAAAAAGAATATATTCAGAACACAGATTTAAGAATCAGGTCTTAGATTATTTTCAAAGGAGTCTTTCAGCGAACAAAGCCAACAATGAAATACACATTTGATTTATTATTTTTTTGTGAATCCTTCCAGCTCATAGCTGTTCTGCTGCAAATTTTCCCACATTCAGCTGAAATAACAACCTCACATAAAGAAATGAAATCCTATTCAAAAAGAAAGCTTAACAGGAAAAGCATAAGGAAAAAAATATTAGTTGTCGAATAGTGATTAGCATTTTGCCTTAGTTTCATGGTGAACGTGTTCAAGGAGAAAGTTCAATGTTTAGAGTTTCACCTGAAATACATTGTGAAGCTTTGCAATCTACAGTGCCTCAGCATTATTCTACTTTGGAAACAACAAGGTCAAAAGAAAGTAACAGACACATTGTATGGTTGGGTTTGGGGGTTATAGATGAGAATTCAGATTCTTTGCTAAAGTAAAGTGCTTTCCAACTATACTGCCGGAAGAAATTAGTGCAGGAAGTCTTATACAAAGTCTCTCTTTTTAAAACGGGACAATTGGGCCGTGCAACACAGCTGCTTGTCTTGTTCCTTAACCTCTGAAAAAGTCTTGCCATGTGTTAATGAAAAAGTGCAGTGCACTCAGCAAAAGTAAACTGAGATTCTCTCCCTCACATCTGCTATTGCATGACACACATTTCAGCTTTTTATAGCAGGTTTTCCTCAGACAGCCCTAGTAACACACATTGTATATATGTGGATGCACTCTCCATATACCCCATACTCTCCCTAAGTGCACTTGGGTATCTCCATGTACATCTGCATAAACATCATATGGGCATACTGTACATTATTTCTCTTTTGTAGTCAATAATGAAGTAAAATCAGATTTTCTGAACGCAGCTTAGAAGGTCTGATTTACCACTTGTTTTTTCTCTACATGTCACATCAGAATACACCTGAATACAAAAAAAAAAAAAAGCAGGTAGTGAAAAATGTGACAGGATCACAGACAAAATCTTTTTATGTCTTTTTCACAACCTAAGGGAAACAATTGTATAGCAAAAGAGCGTTAACTATATTTTATAGCCTCATGTATTATGAAATCCAAATTAAATCGTAATTGTTATGCTTTTGCACTTCAGATATGTAAACATGTTAAATGTAACTGAGGAAAGTAAAAATATTAAATATAAATAGGTAGAGTCCTGTTTACATGCCAGTATTTTCCAAAATATAATATTCCTTAGTAGCGTGTAAGTATGCTTTAGATTTATTCTGAGCACATAACTGTACCAGCTAAACAAATATAAATGGATTTAATATCTTTATATTCTAATTTCTAAAGAGTATGTTTTATAAGCAAGGAAATCCAAATACTCTCACTCTTAAAATGAAAGATAATTTAATCTATCCTGGAAATGGAAAAATACCCATTCTACCTTCACTGCTATTTCCTTTCTGCTAAAAACAAATGAACAACAACAAAACAAGAAAGGAAATACGACATAGGCACAGAATTATATGTAATATGCTGTACTTTCTTGTTTGTATAATTAAGTATATATAATTTGTCTTTAATGTGTCATAGCTATGTTAATTATAATAAACTGTAACTTCCTGGGAAAAAAAAAAAAAAAAAAAAAAAAAAAAAAGGAAAACTATTCTTTTTTTTTTTTTAATAAGATTTCTCCATAATATAGTGTTGTGTTGTATGTTAGTCCTTTGAACCATTATTCACAACTGCATGTGATCTAGTTCTTACGACACTGACAGAACAGATTAAAACAAATTTTAAGTTCCTGCTCCATACATGTCAATAGGATTCTATGATTTTAAAATTGCTTTGATATTCAGACCAACACACCCTCATGAATATGTTTTAGAAGAGCAGCACTCACACATCCTAACCTAAAGTATAATATGTGTACTATTAAGAACATAATGTAATACTGATCTGTTAACGGTCTGAGCCAACCATGAATAAAACTCACTGCCGATTCAACAGCATAACCAGAATTGAACCTGTTGATAGCATATATCCTACCCAGGATGATAAATTACACTTTCCCAAGAAACTGAATGTATGCTCTGGTTGTTTGTTGTTGTTTTTGTTTTTTTATAAAGTATATTCATATTTCTATTGAATTAGAAATCACACAATTTTCATCTGAATGAGTATGCCTCTTAGTTTATTACCACTTCTAATTTTTAGCAAACTGAATGACAGGTTAACACTGGAGAACTACTGATACTTTTTTTGTGTGTGTGACTACCATAGCCCCGTATATGCTTATGGTATGTGCAGTGATTCACGTGAAGTATTTACAGATTGTGACAGTTTTCTGCATTCACAAAGGCTCCCTTCCCATCATCAAGGGGAGAAAAAGAATTTGCTTTTGCATTTCCACATTAATTTATAAATAAACAAAATAACCATTTAAAGGGGTGATACAAGCACATCTATTATCTTTTTTTTTTTTTTTTTTTTTTTGCTTTTAGTTCCTATATTTATATAGAATCCTATATTTATATAGAATAGAATGTAGATCTCTATATACATCCGTATTTTTTTATCAAAAGACAAGGCAAAAGTTAAAAAGTTTATGTTTTGCAGAAAAGTCTAATAATAATAGAATAGTCCTGATTCTACCAAGAGTAGCAAATTGCTTGGCAGTGAGTATTCTCAATATTTCAGTTTAGTGAGTGGAATTGTGCTGCAGCAAGGCAAAGGAATTCCAGATAAAGGCAGTAGAATGAGTTCAGTCAAGGATCTGGAGGAGACGAATGGATGATCTGGACCACAAAGATAAATCATGACCTCAGTGATGGTGAAGGAGAGAAAATTTTCCTCATAGTGTGGGCAAAAATATGTCAGAGATGTAGGTATGACTGCAGTTTAGTAGAACATTTGAATTAAAATGCAAGAGAGACAGAATTATATACTAATCAAGCTTGGAAGTGCAAGAAATGTAGGCTTTTGTATAAGGGCTTTATCAATCTCCGTCAGTTCAACAATTCCAGCTATTTAATTGCAAACTGTCTGAAAATGTTAACAGAGTATTTTTCATGAACAAAATGCTTTTGGGGGAGTGGGGTGAAAGAAAAAAAAAAAAAAGAAGGAAATACTGTAGTTACTGGAGAATGAGATTTTATTCAAACTCTCCAAATAGTCCCCTTGACATAACTGAGAGTGATTAAGTGAGGGCATACTTCAAGACTGTGTCTGAGCTGTTTATCTCCTGGAAATTAAAAGACTTACA